TAATTATATGTAATGTATATATATATATAATACATATAAATGTAAACACTTTTCAAAAAATTAAAATGCTATCTCCCTCAAATTTGGAAGTAATGTTAAACACGAGGAAACATGCCTCAAGAAGTTCCACATTACGGTCAGATTAAAAATTTGTAATCTCATTCCAATATACGTATAAAATCCTAGAATGTAGTGCCGCGCACCACTCCAGGTTTGCTCTCGTTTCAAAAAATTTTTTTAAAATTTACATCCATGAAACTTATGATTACAATGCATCTTTAATGTGTTACATGAATTGGAAGCAAATGTAACTATACATTAAATGAATAATAACAATGTTCGGTTTGTCTTAATAATTCTTCACTTGTGTACGCGTTACTCATACTCATTTCGAAAACTGTTTATGATATTTGCACTACAACAGTTTATAAAGAAATTAATCGAAAAAGCAAATATAAGATATAGATATAAACACATGTCAGCACATTGTTATCTGCGCAATACACTTTACAGAATTTTCTAATCTTTCATGTGTTACAATATATCAGGATATTATAAAATTTGTCAACAAAATGTGTGGACATTATGTGTTGAAAATTACGTTAAGTACCAGCATGCTATTAGTGAAAAGAAAGAATATTTTATCAATTTATATTTATGTTCATATTAAGTATACGCTCTTAAATACAGTTGCTGTTTTTTTTTGTTCATGGATTCACATATATGAATATATGATCGTAAAACGAAACTTATAGTAAAGTAAGCTCAAAGCAAAGAAATAGACATACATGCGTTCTAACGTGAAAATATCAAACATTGTCGTTACACGCGTCGAAATAATGCTATCATATCCTATTTTTAACGGCTCGTTAGAAAGTCTACCACGATTATCTCTTAACAATCCAGTTTTTTTTTATTCATCATCAAAGGCGCGAAGTGAACGTCTAATATTAACGTTTCAGAATCAAAGAGTTGGTTTCAGTTGACGAGTCCAACAACTGGAACACGATCGGACATTTCAACTTTGGAAGTCGTTCTCCCTTAATACCATCTCTTAGCCGTAAGCAATTATTCTAATCGTTAAAGATACACAATAATTAATGGGTAGCATATGTATCGACGAGTTTCATCCTGGAGTGGTGGCGGCCAAGCAGTGGCTCTTTTAATCATCTTGTGTCACATTTCTCGACTAACGGTATGTGAAAGAAATTGGGAACAATACCTTGCACTTGTCACTCAGTTTGAGCGCAAGCACGTGTCTTCCATCGCTGCGCCGTGCAATACATGCGTATGTGAACACAGGAACTAAGTTGTCTGTACGTGTGTGTAAATGTGTGTGTAAGTTACATGGAAGCGCGTGTACGCGTGGGATACATCGTACTTTTATGTAACCATTCTCGCTCTTACACTCGAACAGATTTACTTTAAATCTCCTTATGCAGAATGAAATGAATTTGTGCCGTGAGTTAGTTGACCGTAGAGCCGGGTCATTTAAATTATTCGATTACGTAGAATTCAAACGAGGGATAAGCTAATTTCACACAATCGATAACAAGATCACGATTAAAAAGAGAAATATTCTGAATTGTGTTATGTACATGTCTCTCTGTAGATGCCTAGAAATATAATTCGTATATTATACACGTGTAGACTTAGTCTGTCGTTTTCATTTTGTTTGTGATTGGGAGCTACGCGCGTATATCGGAATAACAAGGCCATTTTTCTTTTGTTATCAAAGACGTTATATATAAAATATTTATTCTTTTTCTTTCTTTGATTGAGCAATGGCAATCAGCACATTATATTCATTCATTTGTTCTGCTACGAAAATATAAAAGTATGTACAATTCAATAAATTAATCCTCATCAAAGGGACATGAGGTACGATACTCTCGCTATACAATGCCCGATGGATGATTCGAAATTAACTATACAGGAAAGTTCTTAATAAAACTACAAAAAGATTGACTGGAGATTTATCTCGTATAAATGGCAATGATGGAATTCTTTTAAATGTGTCTATATATACGTTTGTATATACATGTATGCATATACAGATATATGCAAAACTACGCGTCGTTCGCGATCGTTATTCAACATTAAAAAAAAAAAGAAGAGGAAAAAAGTAGATTATGATAAAAGAATTTTGACTAAGAATTGAATCTCTGTATATACCTCTACACGGGTAAACAGGTCCTGTGTTCACTCTATCACAGCAATTATCTAAGCGGCAGATTTCAGTTGGGAAGAAATCTTGATTAAGACTTACACGAGAGTCAACAATTGAATATTCTGACGACTAAAAGATACTCAAAACAACTCACTGGACCCAACGGCTCTCCCACCACTCCAGAGTGCGATAATTCTGAGTCTGTAAAATCGAATTTTCACTTTTGTTTCTCTCTCCCTCTCTTTCTCTCGCTCGTTCTTTCTCTCTCTCACTCTCTCCCTCTCTCTCTCTCTCTCTCGCTCTCGCTGTAGCACGACTCTATGTACATCGATTTAAACGATATTTTACACGAATCTGCCTGAAGATTCTCTATACTTTACTTTGGTAATTTTCCCAATATTGATCTTTTCCTTCCTTTCCTTTCTCTCTGTCCTTTATAACGAATCCACTTGGTGTTCCACTGATTGCTCACTATGATTTTCACTGACGTGCCCTATTTGTTCGGTCGATTGTACCACATGTTGTTGCGCTGAATCTTCAGCTGGAATGGGTGCTTCGTATTCACACTGTTCCTCTTCACCCCGCTGCTTTAACGTTAA